AAAGATTTTATCAACAGTAGCAAGTAAATGTTTTATTTCAAAAAATTACGACGAACTATTTTTTTAAGGTATTAATACCTTACTATTTTTTATTTTTCCATTTAAGTTACTATAATATGGAATTTTGTTGAAATCAATCTTTTATTTCTTTTTAAGATCGTTGCTTAGAGCCCTTAGAGGATTTGCTACCTAAATATTGCGAGGTTATAATGTTAAATTCTGAAGGTACAATTGGTACAATAATGTCGGATGAGAGAAACGACATAGAGAGGAATTATCTTTATACTCCATTTTTTAGTAGAGTATGTGCGTTTTTACCCCAAATCCCGAACGTGAGAATAAAATCGTTTGAACTGGCATACCATTGTGTTATACAAGAATCAGCTGAATATCAGGAGATAATTAGTACAATTGTTGGTCATGAAACATCTATATCAAATCACGAGACATCTACATGCTTTATGTTATTCTGTGATTACAGAAGTAAATCGATAGCACAACATTGGGCCTCAGCCATGCAAGAAAGGTATAATTTATATTAATTTAATCCAAGCAATGATACATATCCAAGTTTATTATTCAGGTATGTCCAATTGTTGTACAATTGCTGATATTTGATAACACATGTGTATTTTTCTTTGCATATGTTTAGCAAAGAAGTCAAAATTGCTTCTGTATGGGGTGGTGTGTTGGACGAAATTGATGTAAGCCATAATCATAAGTATCGTCAACCTTGTGTTGCTGTCCTGATTACTGGTTCTATACAAACGTGGTCCACAATTTTGGATAAGAAATGCGATACAGAGGAGCAGGTCGAAACAAAATTGAAGTTATTTAAGGATGAAGTGAAGTTAAAGAAACATTCCATAGGATTTATGTTTGCATCCAAAATGCATCGCGGATATCTGGAAGAAGCGATGTTTAAAAGATTATTCCCCAAGGTACCCTTAGCAAATTGCTTTGGCAGCGGCAGCTTCGGAAAAACTACTACCATTGATGAAGTAAACGAAGAAAGTGAGTATATGAATCTTTTTCTTTCCTTCTTAGTGAAGATATCGTCTTTGATATAGGTCAATACATAATTTTCCTTTTGTTTATAGAAAATGACGAAGAGAAATCTTGGTATAATGAATATAAATATGACTTATGGACTGGATATAATGAATACTCTACTGTGTTTTTGATACTTACGTATGGTTGACGTTTCGAGAGGAGATATGCGTGAGTGCTGTATGCTACGAACATACGTGCATTGCTATAGAGTATAGATTTAAGTCTCGTATTCACACTCATAACAAGACATGAAAGCAATTGCTCCGACATTCACACAACAAAAACATATGAACGTAATAGCAATAAATCCGAGATTATTTGATAATTTTTGTTTGAATTAGATAATTTTAAGCAAGCCTGCAAAGCTTAGGAACGGCTTTTCCCAAATTTTAGCCAAATTAATTAACGAATCTCATTTCACTTATGCTCGTTTTAATCAGTAAGATCAGCCGCAAGCTGGTACAGAGCCGGATTTTCCATTTTGGCTCTTAAAAAATTTATAATAAATAAAATACGGACTCGCAGCTAAGCAACCCAACAGAGGTCGGTAGTGTTACTCCTGTCGACCCTTATGGAGGATTCACACTGCGTCCGATGTTCGACGTACGACGATCCGACATCCAATAGGAAATTTTTGTCCCTAATAATAAATTTTGTTATTGGATGTCGGATCGTCGTACGTCGAACATCGGACGTGATCGGACGCAATGTGAATCCTCCATTAGGGCCAAAGCACATATGACAGTCATAGTCGTGGACGTAAGTAACGCACAAGCTTTGGCGTATTCTGATCTGTCAGGTCGGGGACTACGACCGTCGTATATCGCTACGCCATGTTATGTGCTTTGACCCCTTAACTTTTCATAAATAATATGAACAAAAATAGCAAACAATAAATACTCAGCACTTGTTTTCAAAATACGATTACTTTATTAGCATTACTAAAATATCTTTTCTTTCACAAAAAAATAAAATTTATCTTAAAATGTTATTTCTGACCATCATACGCAACAAAAATAAAATGTAATTCACTGTATAACCATCAGATATCAGACTTCTTTCTCTCTTACTTATTAAACATTTCTTCACATATTAAGTTGTATAAATAATATGAATAATATAACTTATACTTAATGTATAACTTATTTTACTGACTTTAAATACATATCTTTTATTAATTTGAAATAATTATCGAGAATAAATAATATTTTATTAGATTTTGATTATTTTAACGAAGAACGTTTTGCTATGATGTTAATAAATAAAATATAAAAATAATCTAACCTGCTCATTTCTAATATTCAAGGGAACCATTTTGTGGATCATATATATTAAAAATTCTTCAGGAGATTGCTGCTTGTCTGCGAGATATTCAGCAACACCTCTAAAGCCTTGTGTCCATTTAAGCCAATGAAACTGCTGCTTTTCTGTAAGAGCTGCAAGTTAATTGGCTTAAACCGAAACTCGGACGCAGTTCTAGCATCGTGGACACAAAGGCTTAACACTTTAAAGAGTCGGATCCAGAAGTGCTTTGCAAACATGAGTTTCATAAAATAGTTTCTTTAAGTTGTTTTACTACGAATGAATCGTATTCATTTACACACATACTACTCTCAACTTCTGCCCTGAAAATATTAAGGAAGTAATTGATACAACAGCATCTATTAACTCAGCTTTTTAAATTTGGCGGCGCAGGGGTCTACGAAACGGCGTGAGCGAGCTTCCTGAACGCATTCCAATAAGCCGCTCAGTAGCAATCGAACGTGTTGGCTCTTACTTTTAGAACCAACCAATCAACGCCGATTGTTGATAAGACGAACTCAACAGTTGTGTCTGCTGAACGCGGCCAATAGCGAAACGCACCCATCATAAAAAAAAAAAAAACGCGGCACTTTCCATTTCTCAACGCTAGGTTAACTTTAACCTCGATTTTTTATCTTTGGTTCTAACATCCATTTCTACCAATGACAATTAACTTTAATCTCAGTTTAACATATATTTTATCTTTTCCTAATTCTTAGAACTAATTAAAAAAGATAAAATAGTCTAATATTCTTAAATCGAGATTAAAATTAATCTACATTCTTTTTTCATCCTTCATTCTTCACTCGATCATTTTCTAATGTCTGTTTCTATCAATATAGATTAAAGTTAATCCTTTTTTTAGAGGTCCTCTAATCAGAATCTAGACTAGACTTGAGATTCGATCGCCCTTTATGTATTAAGAATTATTACTCAATCTGTTCTAAATAATCCAAGACCTCGTTGACAATGTTAAGTATCTTCGGTTCTCTATTCAGATAGCGATATATATGTGATCAAAAAGTATACAGTGAGTTTTAAAGAAATGTCAGGAACAACAACTGATGGTGAAGAGATGCTTGAAAACACTCCAGATGCTAAATGTGTTCCATATGAAAGATTGAAGGACAATTCTGTGGAAAGGTCTCAATTAACGCCAGCTACTTCTGCTGCAGGGGTACGCTTCTTCTTTTCTCAATCAAACTTTAACTCGAGAGATCTTCAGATTGCTTGATGACTAAAAAGACCTATCTATCTCTCTTTCTTGATTAAATTGTCTTAAATTGTTGTTTCATCTCAGATTTGCTCC